CTCTATTCCTGGTTTGCCCGCATTCTTTCCGAAGTTCAGGCTTATTCGAGCTTTGTGGCTACGAGTAATTCATTGCATAAGTTCATTGTAGGTTGTAAAAGAAGGATCTCACATATTTGTCGATGATGGTCTCATTTCTCTTGTTGTCGACGAGATTAGGGAGAATGGTGTCGTATGTACAGTTGAAAACGGAGGAATGCTTGGTAAGTTTATCTGCTTTTCTAGAAATCGAGCATTCTCGAAAAATAGAGAGCCGATTTCAGGAAGCCGCAAAGGTGTCAATCTTCCTGGAACTATTGTCGACCTACCAGCTATTTCTGATAAGGATATTCAGGTACAGTTTCCTCCTAATCTTGTTGTTTACCGAACCGGCATATGTGATGGCATCGTAATTTGGTTAGATAGTTCGGAACGTATCGTTATAAGTGAGGTTTCAGGATCTGAAATTCGGCATCGAACAAGGCGTCGACATTGTTTTCGCCTCTTTCATTCGTAACGCGGACGGAATTCGTACCATTCGAAAGGTATGGTTCAAATTGCTGAAAATTGAACACGTTTTTCCCTTTAGTGGTGATTGCTTTTATGGAGTGCTTTTTTAGGTTATGGGTGAAAAAGGCAAGGACATAAAAATCATTGCAAAGATCGAGAACCAGGAAGGTATGGATAATGCTGATGAGATTATTGCGGAATCCGATGGTATTATGGTGGCCAGAGGTGATCTCGGAATTGAAATCCCTGTCGAGAAGGTGTTCCTTGCCCAGAAGGTGAGAGCTTTGGGAGAGATCAGTGCGGTTTCAATGACTCTATTGAAAACACCTTTTAGATGTTGATCGCCAAGTGCAACAAAGCTGGTAAACCAGTCATTTGTGCCACCCAAATGCTGGAATCTATGGTGAAGAAACCGCGCCCAACTCGCGCCGAAGGCAGTGATGTTGCCAACGCGGTACGTGAATCGACTTTTTTTCGGTGTACTCATATTTTAATTTGTCATTTGACTCCTCTTACATGAATTTCAGACTCGACCAGATCTAGAACGGCTTTTAACCCATAACCAGTAACCCGGGGTACTGTATGGTTTTATGTCGTATGTACATGCTGGACAACATTTGAATGAAAATAGAGTCGGAAGGGCCACTGTATTGTGCCCTAACTGTAGTCTCTGAAACTAAGGATGGGGTAAGGCAGGGGTCTAGATTATGCTGAGGATGGAAAGTTCGATAACACGTGTAAGTTTGAAGTTATTTTTAATGAGGACTGGCTGAAGCAGTCTCGAATGGTCTGAATAAGAGGGCCAGAACGGCTGTATTCTCGCTCAGAGCTAGGGGAAGGGGGAGAGGGAAAGAACTAGATAGGATGTGTAGGTGAAGGACACTCTAGTGTTCAATTCAAGCAAAAGCTATATCAGGCGCACGCCCTATCAAGGCTCTCCCTAAATACTACTAGCACATCCTGCTGTCCTCAGCGCTAGGGACGCGGAGCACGACGGATTGACCCCTTAACTCTATTTGCTTACTCTTTTATGAATCGACCTTTTATTATCCTAGGTCAACATATGTGTTCTTTCAACATGAGCATTTGGCTTTCATATGAGAACCCGAAACCGCTTTTATTTCTGGGGTTGCAGCCTCGACCTTGACATTTTGTTGAATTCGATTTCCTTTTTCTAGTAGATCGTGTGGTAGACCACGCTAGAAAAATCACAAGAGTTTGAAATGTGTTTTTAAAGGTTCTCGATGGAGCGGACTGTGTGATGTTGTCAGGTGAAACAGCAAAAGGAGACTACCCTATCGAGGCTCTGAAGATCATGCATTTCATCTGCAAGGTAAGGTGTATTCGATGGTTTAACTTCAGTGTTCAGTTATAAGGAAAACGAATATCCGTGTTTAAGGAGGCAGAAGGCTGCTTGCTACCATCGCAGATTCTTCGAAGAAATTATCATAAACACCCCAAGACCAACCGACGTGACACAAACTATCGCTAATTGCTGCCACCAGTGCGCTGCATTGCAATGCTATTCGCATTCTGCTCCATTCACCACCACAGGGACGGTAATGAGAACGGCTTGGGTGTTCGAGCGTTTTTCTCTGACTCTTCGGAGTGTTGCTGTTTCAGTTCCGCACTCTGCTGCTCGAGATACAAGAGTAGCGTCCCAGTTCTAACAATCTCTCGCAGTGCAGCTGTATGTCGTCAGTTGCATCTTTACAGGTTGGTGTCCATTTGCTGGGTCAAGTATTATATCTTCCCTATCTTGATACCTGATTTGGTATGCTTAATGGATGAAGAAAAAAAACCTGTGGGCTTTCGCACCAGCCGGGATTCGTACCCGAATCTCTTGCTTTCCGCTCAATTGTGCTATCTTGTTGAGCCGGTTAGCCGATATCGGCAATGACCGCGAGGCTGAAAGCTTTAGCAATGAATTTTGACTTGTTTTTGTTTGTTAACTGCTGTTTTTGGCCGCAGTTCGCGTTGCGAATGTTTCTGTAACTGGTAGCACAATTGCCCGGAAAGCAAGAGATCCGGGTACGAATCCCGGCTGGGGCGAAAGTTTTGCCCACAACTCAGCATTCTTGTGATAACTTTCGCAACGCGAACTGCGGCGTAAAACAGCAGTTATCCAATAAAAACAAGTCAAAACTGTGCGTGTTTCTGCTTTTATACTAATGGTATAGTGTGTTAAAGGGCAATCTCCGAGACCAAAAATAAGGGAGTTACATGTTCATTTATGGTGTATTGAGGAGTGCACACTGAAGGAAAAAAGCAGGAAAAACCGTTGAGAATCCCAAATCAAGGACCCCTTCTTGCTCAGCTCCATACAAGCCAGGGCTTGGAGAAGGGCGTGTCTGGTACGGTTTTCAGCAACTGTTTGGCTCTATTCCATCAACCCGTATGATCAAAAACTCGGCACAGAAAATGTTTGCTCCTAGTTTTCCTATTTATGTCTTTTTTGCTTGTTTCTCCATCTGATTTTT